GAAAATAAAGCAATAGTTCTTAAAATCAGACTAAATGGCTTTGTCCAGTTGGCAATTCTTGTTCTAAGACAGTCAGAATGTACTCAAATTAAGAAGAAAACCTGATTCAAGCAATTACTACCTCATATTTTATAATTCTTTTGTAGCGTGTAAACTATAAGCCATTAAACAATTCCATCAGGCCAGATGTTAGATCAGAATGCACACAATATTCATACTTTTAACTCATTTTTGATCATTTAAAACACATGTGTTGGACCAAATCTTAGTTAGATTAGTCTGATAACTGTTGAGCATTATCAGCAGATGGAGGACCCACATGTTTACACACAGCTCTCGTCTTCTGCAGGTGTGTCATTCCTTATTCTGTTGTAATTTGGGGAAAAAAATCTAATTCCGAAACAATAAGTTAAACCATTCTCGCTTGTTACATTTACCACCTGCTGGTCCGAGCGCTGCTTCAAAGACCTCTGGATCTTCTACAGTGGGGAGGAGTGGTCCGAAACACTCAAAAACTTGGCCTTATAGAAATCGGAGAGTTTCCCAGAGCCATCATCATCATCGAGCCCCACCTCTTTGTGTGTGCGTCCCTCACTATTAGCGGGGTCACACACATTCTTGTCTTATGAAAGATGATGAGTGTGTTGTCATTGCAGGGCTTCAAAGACACAGGACACACTGAAGCCAGATTTTTCACTTGAGTCCTCACATGAAAGCGGACGCTCGCTCAAAGTCAAGGCTGCTTTTTTTTTTTTTTTGGTCGAAGACTTTGATGAGCAGAAAAGATAGAAGAAGAGAAGGATAGAAAACCAGGAGGGGGCTTGAGAAACAGAGGAACGCCGAAATGCCGGGGTCTAGGTAATTAACGCCCGGCTCTTTAATTACTGATGGTGTTCATTCTGCCAGAAGCAATGTGACAATTAAGCCGTTAAAACTTCCTAATGGAGAGGATGGAAGACATGCAAAAGAGCAGGATGAAAGCAAAAAAAAAAGAGGCGACAGAAGGAAGCAGCGGACGAGGGAAACTAAAAAGAAAAAAGAAAAAAAAAGTTGAGAACAATTGCCACAAAAGAGGAGCCAGGGCTGCGTATTAGGCCAGCACAGTGACAGAGCAGATTAGCATCAAACAAGAAAGGCCACAGACGTGAATACAGAGGACATATTCTTTCCAAGCAAGTAACCAAGGTGGATGGGACTTTGATGACGCAGAATTCTGGCAAAGGGAAAACTTACTGTTGGATTTATGCGTGCGCTTGCTGAATATGCGTAGGCTCCTGTTTCAAAGTGGTGGTGCAGGAGGCAGGTAGAGGAGGAAGAGGAGGAGAAGGAAAGGGAGAGAGAGCTACCAAAAAATAAGGCCTAAGGGGCATCCTGATACACATTATACCTATGATTCACCCGCGCAAACACAAGAAATACAACAAACGTCTCCGTGCACCTTCACAAGACTTTGCTAAATTCCCACACAAACATCTCAGTGGTTTGGAGCCCACGCACCCACTCCGGCGAGCGCTAATAACTCCTACATTACCTCCATACACAGGAGAGGAATAGTGGGAAAAGTATGTGAGGTATCACTAATGTACAGATGGGCCCAAAGGAGAAAGACTTTGGGAAAAAAATGGGAAGCGATACAACTTTAGCTAGAGGTTTTATTATGCTAAAGTTAGAGGTTTTATTTTATTTTTGTATAGAGTTATTTTTAATTTATCTTAATGCTGTGTGCTCCTCATTCCTACTGTTCTGTATCTGGTGATGCAACACTGACATTTCCCCACTGTGGGACGAATAAAGGATCTCTTAATCTTCAGAATGAAATGTACAACACATAAGTCATTACAATTTTACCATTTGTAAAATGTTCTATCTTGAATGTACAGGTGAAACTCGGAAAGTTAGAATATTGTTCAAAAGTGACTTTGTTTCTGTTTTTCAACTTACAATGTGAAACTAATATGAGACAGACTCATCACATGCAACGTTTTTTTATATAATCTTGATATTCATGGTTCACAGCGTGTAAAAACCCCAAATCATATTTTACATTTTTTTAAAGTAAGCCATAATCATCAATATTTTAACAGACTTATATGTTAATGTATGTCACATGTATGAGTCTAGTCTAGTCTACCTCTATTGGTTTCACATTTTAAGTTGAATTACAAACATAAATGAATGAATGCTTGCCTAATGATCCGAGTTTCACCGGTAGTATTAAATATAACAGTTTATAATGTTTTGTTTTTTAAGTAAAAAACGTTGGAGTGTTAAGTCCCAATGAATGCTTTGTATCATGCAGGACTGGAAGAGGCAGTTCACGGTTTATATTTTATTATAGATACAAATACAAAGCCATGATGTAAGCTACTTTGTTTGGAGCTATTACTTCCTCTTAGAATTATTAGCCAGTATTCTCCTCTGACAAGTACACTTCTCGCTCATAAGGCGTTTAGTTTGTCAAGGGGAGTTAAAATTTGCATGGCTGGGCAAATTTTCCTTGCGGTAATCAGCTCCTGTATCTCTCAGACACCTGCCCAGCAAAAAAACCTTCATATGCAAAACAGCCTCCACCTCCCTCCTCTGGTTTCTCTCCTCCACGGCCAACAGAAGACTTTTTCACCTGGCCACACACTCCTTTCCTCTCTGTCTGTCTTCTTGCAAATTTTCACATTTATGCATGCAAATAAGCTGTTCCTCTTAAGCCCAGTTCAACAGTAGCTTCCTGGTACAAGAAGACTGAGTTCTGCCCCGAGGGCGATGGCCGCAGCTTTATAACTTACACAAAGAAGATTGCTGTAGACCTAATTTGCTTACTGTATACTATATAAATATATTCAACGTATTGGACAAGTTTGAACAACTACGTGAACAGTTTTATGTGGCTGAAAGAGGGATTAAGTTTGTTATATCAAAGGGCTTATGTTATAGTCCATTTACAGCACATGCAAATAGACAGTGCAATGGACTTTGTTTTCTTTGTGTTTGTTTTTACAAGCGCATGGGCACGTCAAGCACTGAGACAATTTGGAATATTTAGTTTTCACATATGGGTATGCCTTGTGGGTGATGCAAAGCATAATTTGATATGAAAAGAGACGCCGATTCCAGGATCATGAAAAATGAAACCTAAGGAGAATGCAAACTACAGACTCGACCTCCAATCAGATTTTCATGGGCAGAAAATAAAACAAGAAAGAATCCAAATCCCTGATGTTCTATAATTAATGAAATCATATTTTTAACATGTGTTTGCACAGAAGTGCTCTTTAGCTCAGATCACAAGCAAGTGTTTAGGTGCATGGTCTTTCACAGGCTCCCGGAGGAGGGCTGGAGATGGATGTGGGGGAGTGTGGCGGAGACCAGCCCCAGTGGACGAATAAAGCCGGAGAGTCAGACCCTAAACCACAGCCAACAGAAGCGCACCACTTTAAACGTGAGTGCTACAACAGTCCCAACGCTTACAAGGGCACTTCCTTTTCTCCTCTGCTTCTTTACCCACAATTCCCTGTTCCTCCCTCCCTGCCCCACCGTCATCCCTTTGTCTCCGAGCTCTCACCCTCTTTCCCCTATCTATCCATCTATTCCTCCCCCCTTTCCTCTCAGTAAAACAGTAGGACGCTTAACCTTGATAACAGTGAGATCCCCCCCTCAAAGTGACACACACACTCACACACACACACGTTGGAGAAATGCTTTGCCAGCATGCCAGGCCGGTCCAAGGGACGACTGTACCCTTCGAGGTGAACAGGACACAGGGAAATGCAGCAACAACAAAACACCCACTCGCTTACAGAATACGGACAAAGTGTTTCTTCAGTGATTGTGCCCCGACTTTGACAACGCGAAAAAGATGTGGGACAAATGACAAACTGTAAAGGTGAAGTTGTCTACTGAGAATTGGCAGTATATAGTGTAATGTACTAGAAGACACACACAGGCAAACAGACAGTATGAGAAAAATGAGGGCCAGGAACAACGAGGGGGAAGTTATATGCGGTTTTTAGATGCACCTTTGCGTGCAGACTGTAAACCACTAAAAGGAATTAGACGGTGGGGAAGAGATACAACTAACAAGGTGGTTTCTTCCCCTTTGGACTTAAGTTCCCGTCCTTTGTTTATGAGGGTAGTTAACTGTGAAAAATGTCCACTTCATGTCACTGCACATGTTATTTACTCTCTGTGTGTGCGAGTGTGTGTGCGTGTGTGAAGTTGAAATTATCTCATTTTTTTTGCCTCAACAGATTTAACACAGTATATGATATATATATGCGGCCGATTGATGAGGAACTTATTATTATTATCCAACACTGCAAAAAGTGATGACAAATAGGGCCAAAAATTGCTCAAATTTGGCAAAATGTAAGTAAGTAAGTAATCTGTATTTATATACCGCCTTTCACAGACCAGAGTCACAAAGCGGTTTACAAATGTTATTTTTTGGGAACTTTTTGCTTCTCACTCCGAACAGAGATGGGAGCGGGGTCTCAATTAGATCTCAATTAGTGCACATTTTGACTGCCTGAAGGATAAAACAAAAATTATCTTAAAAGATACAAAAAATGTCTCCCTTGGAATGAGAAAATAAAGCAACAGTTCTTGAAATAAGCCTAAATGGCTTTGTCCCATTGGCCAATCTTGTTTTAAGACTCAGAATCTTTTTTAAGCAATTAATAACTCATACACCATCATTTTTGCAGTATATAAGACAATATTTTGACTACAGTAAATGCGGTCGTCTATTCCATTATTTTCCAGGTGTATTCTTCCATGAAAGACAAAGCTTATTTTTTGCCACATGCAGTAGTTGTTCAGTGTTGCAGCATCTATAGGCGACGTGAACTTGACTGCGAAAGGACACAGAGAGATGTGTCACCCTACCCTCTCTGTGCCTTCAAGTATCTGCTGTAATACAAGCCTCCCCCATAAGGACTGCTATATTTCAGCACAGTTTGTCTCCAAGCGAACATTTTGTGTAGTTCCGTGTATTATCTTTTGTTTACCTCAAAGTCGTTTGCCTTGTTGTAGTGCATGTTGAGCGCTCGGAACAGTTCACTGTCGCGGCTCACTCCCAGTTCGTCCACGCCGGTCACGCCGTCGTTGATGGCCTGTCTCGCAAACTTCTCCATCTGGATGTAGTAGAACTCTCTGAAGTTACTGAACCACTTGATCAGCTGAGACGTGATGCAGCGGTTGAACTGTAGATACAGAGGACACAAGACGTGAAATTGGATATTGTTGTAGTCGATGTGTTGACAGTTTAGACAATTTTAGATAAAGTCATGAAGAAGATAATTCTCAAGAGCATTAGCACTGTGAATTGGGTGGTATCTCTGACTGCTACCCGCTGCTAAAATGGATGGATGGGTTAGCTTCAGCCTACTCTTTTCGGTCTTTCTATCTGCTGTAAATATACTGCTCTGTAACAATGTGTAAAATTGTACAAGTGACCGAAATAAACTTCATTCAATCAAGAGAAATGTACGTACACCCACTATCCACCAGAAGAGTAGAGAGCACAGGTGAAACTCAGGAAAATAAAATATTGTTCGAAAGTTAATTCAGTATAAATGGACCACTAATATATGGCAGACTTATTACACATAAAGGGAGATTTATTGTTATAAAGTTTGATAAAAGCTTGTAAAAACCTTAGAATATTGTGCATGTACCTGTATATATATGAATAGAGTAAGAAATTATTGCAAACTTTACATTGGAAACCTGACATTTATCTATGTCTGGAACCAGCACAAAGATCATTTAGGATTGTTCACTTCTTTTTTCAGTATTCTTTTTTTTCTTTTAGGCTATTTTTAGTTAATACATTCTCACAATGTTTGAAATACAGCTTGTATCCAATCAGGATTCTTCACTTTATGCAAAACATCGAAGAAAGACATGCAGCAAAAAGGTGCAACAGAGTGATAGAGGATAATAGAGACATTAATTTTCGACAGCTCAGAAGGAGGAGGAAGCCCCGCTGGGACCGGACCTCCCCCCCATCATAACCCCACGACTCAGGCAGAGGTGGAGGGGCCCGCCACAAACACATCATTGTCCAGGAAAGCGATTAAGTCATCATCTGAAGCTGTCCTGGCCTGTGGGAGGCTCGAACATGTACTTAACCCCATTCAACAATTAATTTTTCCTCACTTATAGGAAGAAGTTTCGAAGGGCAGAAGGGAAGGAGAAAGGAGCCAGGGACAGGTCAGAGGATATGTGATCTGCACCGCTCGGCTGGACTCAATAGGGCGAGGTAAACCTATTAAGTCCAGTGCTTTTTCCGCCTGGTCTAAGCAGTGAAAACAAACTGTCTAAACATCCAGACGACTAGATAAGGCCCTCGGGGGGGGGTTAGTGATTACTGCCTGCTCTAGTCACTGTAAAACACACTTGCACACATCTTTGAATATACAAAATGCATGCTAAGTTAGAGAGCATTGATTACATTTGCTGTATACCTGATCTCTAAAGACAAACCCTCTTGTGTTTTTAATTTACTATAGCATTACATGATAGTCGTATTCAATAATTAATTGTAAAATTAAACTAGTCTTATTAATGAGATTCTAAATTCACTTAACCCTTTTGTTGCTATGAGCTCCTGGATTTAGGACATTTTACACCTGGCTTCTCACAAACATTTCCCTACTTTTTTTCTCTCTTATCATTTCAGTCCTCCATCGCTACGTTTAAAGGTTCTTATTTTTGTCTCTCTCACATAAAATATATTTAAAAAGCTAAAGGCACCTAAAGGGTTAATTCAATAAACATATACTGCTTAATGGCAACTTTTTCCTATAAGAAGAAACTTTTATCTCAAACGTCTTCAGTTTTCAAACCCCCAAATCTTCTATTAGCGCAATGTTAAAGTACACAGACAGCTCCTAATAGAGGCGTTTGCTTTCCTCCCCTCCGCTCTCTTTGTGGCGAAGAATGGGGGACAAAACACTACTAAACGCTGAGCGGGCGACTCACTGGGGAGGCCGAATGGTTTTGACATGGAGATTAGGCTCTGGCCATTGTTCAGCACGTACACACACACACAATATATGCAGTTGGCAATCTGGCACGGCAAGTCGAAAACAAACACAAGTGCGTGAAGATGGATATGCATACAATACAGAGGAGACAGAGGATATAGAGAAGTTAGGAATAGTTTGGTTCAAGGTGGGACAGGGGAGAGGGGATGCTGCCATTTTGGGGATGACATTAAGGTGAACGCATAAGTCCGCATGACATTGCTTGATGGGACGTGTGTGTGTGTGTGTGTGTGTGTGTGTGTTAGAGGATGGTGCTTGTCCGAAAGTGCACGGTGAGCATAAATGTGAAAATGAGGAGAGGGAGGAGGACGGCTCAGGTCAGCTCAGATGGACAATGGCGTTTTGATGCTCAGGGGTAGGGCTGTGATAGAGGGGTGATGGGGGGGGGGGGTCCGGAACGCGAGCAGTCAGCAAGCCGGGGTCGTGACATGAGCGAGTCGAACAAACAAACTACTGACACTTACAAATACTACATCAGCTGCGACGCGGGCTATTCTTAAACGCACACAATGTATCAGACAGTACGATGTGATGGGCCGCAATGTCTATTCACTCACTAAGCCTTGGCTGTGTTAAAACTGCGCCTGTCTGAGTGTATTGGCGGCGATGTTTTCGTGTTTGCATAGCCTCGTACTGAGATTAAAGTCGACGAAAGTGTTGCCATCCTTCAACCTCTAGACCTTATGTGTCAATGTTCCAAGTGACACGACCATTTTTCACTCCGAACACCGATTACTTTATTATACACGCACAGGCTTTTTTGAGAGGAAACATACAATCTCAGCTGCAGCGTCTTGACTGAAGCGCGACCAAAGACACAATATTTACCGTAGATGCTGCTAAACAAGCTAAATTACGTTGTACTCCCAAATGAGGCGCCCCAGGGAATTTGTTTTTTGGCAAGTGCCCCCGTAGCTTCCAGCAGTCTTGGTTCATTAAGTTGCTGGTGGGGTACAAAAGACCCCCCGATCGCGGCTGAGGACAAGAGCACTCAGTGTAAAAAAAAGGGGAGGTAATCGGTTCAAAGGCGCACATCACTGGAGCTTCTTAATCAGGGCTGGCAGGGGTCAGGCGGCAACGACACTATTGGAAGTACATGTGCGGCATGGATATCCTAGTACGTATGTGTGTGTGTGTGAGACGGGGAGGGTGCGTTTCTCACACTCACACTCAAGAGGCTCTGAAAGGTCAGCACTTAGAGCCAACGGTGCAAGATATAGACCTGTCCTGTACACACTCTTAAGACCAGAATAGGAAAAGTCTCCTGTAGACTTGAACTACCATGTTGGTATTTGTGGGCTGCCAATTTGATGGTTAATAGTTGTTACCCTATTTAAATTACTATATGTAGATGCTTGTTGTAGTGATAATAGATTTAAAGTTGAAATCTAAGGAGTTGACTTGGTTGGCCTGTCTATAAAATCAAAGTTATTTCACAAAAAGATGACACTTGTTTTGATTTTTCTTAACATGAATTTGTACTTTATATGATTTGTATATTGTACTTGTAAAAACATTATTATCTGGCATTATTATAGGACTCTACATGTCTGGAACAGGGAGCGTTAATTAAAGTCCACAGATGAGCTCAGAGTGCTGGGCTACATCTCCGACATTTGCAGAGATGGACAGAATGACTCGCACTATCATAAGCCCCTTCATAGTCATCAGGGCTTTCCACCTCTTCCTGTTTTCGCAGGAGTGAATTGTGGGAGATAATCTCTGGCTGCCTATTGGCTGACCACACACAAAAAGCTGCCCTGGAAAGTGAGCTTTTGTTACTGCGGCGACTCAAATCCAGTGACCGGCTTTTCTTTCTCTCACACACTCGGCCCAACGAGGCGCACATACCACACCACAACATCAGCGAAAACAAGAAAAGAGAAGGAATGACATTTAGAGAGAGGGGAAACCCTACTGACCCCTGTTGTTGCACAGCACTGGCCTGGTTCAAAAGACCTTCGAGTCAACATTTTGCCAAGAAAAAATCTGACTAATAATTGTATAGAATATTGCGTAGATTATTATAAATGTTTTGTGTGTAAAGTGTGTTGTGGATTGTTTTTTGCAAAATAAATCTTTAATTTTGTAATTTCATAATCGTATTGTTATATTGAAATTATTATCTTATAATTTCCCCATTGTTTTGTGCAATGGACCCCTGTTGTAAATCCTTTTCACATACTCACATAACAAAGGCTTAATCAATTTGATTTTAATTGTCTAATTTGCTTGAATTATTTCCCCTGCATGAAAACAATGTATATTAGGAGGGCCGAAATGAAGGAATGTCATGGAAGTGTTGACGACGCATGTCAAAACATTTTACAAACGCCAAAAGTCAAGAAGGTCCGTCTTAAAAAGCGGGTTTAATGAGTGGTGGGGTCCCGCAGTTGTCGCGTCAGCCCACTTCCCACGTTCATTAGGTTCCTTACAGCCCAGGCGTGATTAGTGAAGACTTATCCATCAAGACTTATGTCTGATGTGAAGAGGTCACACAGTATCTAATTAGGTAGCCAGTCTCATTCCCATACATGTCTGCTAATATACACCCCATTGTCCACCACTGAAAACAACAACAAATGGATCTGGCTCATAATCCTGTTAACTTGTTCAATTATCTAATGAAACCATTCAAGAAGTGGCCACTTTCTTTTAACTAGTGGATCGACCAGAAGTTGTTAACCTGGAGTTTAAATAGTATTGAATATGTTTTGAAACACAAGAGACATTTTTAAATCATGCTGCATCAAGAAAGTTTTTGTCTTATGAACTGTGTGCATAGATTTGGACCAGTCACGTGACAACATGATGAGGTTGGTGGCACTGGTTTCCAAGTGGGGGCTGGTGGTAAAGAGAACCTTTATCTTCTCATTTGAATAAGATGGCCTGGATCTGTCAAAATGTTTACCCCTCTGTAAGGTTCAAGACGGGTGCGTAAACAACAACGAAAAGTGCAAAAACTCGGTCAGACACAACGTCTTGACCGAGTTTGTGCTATTTACACATTGTTAGCTAGTCTCAATATTCTTTATTTCTGGATTGCCTTACTATCCTATGTGCACTTTGTAGGTAACCACTTCTATTGACTGTCGCTCGGCTCCATCCTCTGCCCTCCCCACCCAGCAATTACTCATCTCTGCCTGGCTGCTGCATGTAAACTTCCTCTTCTTACATCTTTTGCATAAAACCATAACATAGTAAAGGGGACAAGGGATTGTTTTATAGGTCAACAAGCCAACATTGTCTGTCATAACTGAAGGTAATAATTACAAGAATAACAACAAATAACCTCTTCTCAATGTTAAGGCAGTTTCAAAAGTACAAATAGAAATACAGGCAGGGAACAGGACAGCAATACTGTAGTTTTAAGAGTTGGACTCACCTTCACATCAGAGAAGAACATCTTTAGCATGTTGGAGCTGGGATAGCGTGTGTAGAAAAACATGAGCTTGGCCTTCTTCAGGTGATTGGGAGAGAGACCTTCCTGGATCTGAAATAGGTACTATTAAGGAAATTGGAGTGTGTCAAACACATGTATTTGTTTAAGTTTATTTAATCTGTGAAGGATTGGCTGCAGAATTCACAAGAAAATGTCACTCGCGTGAGGGGTAACCAAATTTCTGTCAAGCCTCGATGCTGACGGGAGTATGAAGACAGTGCAGGAGCGTTTGCATGCCATTAGAATGCTTATATCAGGTGTAAGTGTCACGGTAAATAAAAACGCTGGCCAGCACTGCTCTGCCTTTTACATAAGGAGACTCATTTCACAGTCAAAGTAAGTCTTTGCCTACACCCTGCGCTAACCTCCACCCCAAAAAGGGAAGAAGAAAAAACGAGACATTTGCATATCACAGACAAAGACAGCAGTTAACGCCAGTGGCGGGCAAGAATGCTTAATGGGTTGGCGACAACACGTGCCAACCCTGAATATGACAGTGTGTTGTTGGCTTAATATCAATACCCAAACGTTATCTGTATGAGGAAGGACTGAGTGATGTGCACAACCTTCTCAGGCCATCTCCAAATACATGTCAGAGGCCTTGTCTTCCTAATGGATAGCTTGGATTGAAGACGATGAAGATGGGCTCTGGGGGCACCTTGAGGGAGAGCATGGTTCCAACCTTCAATTACACCCCTCCTCCTCCCATTGCTCCACCCCTGCCTGCCCCCGAGGCGCTCAGCCTCTGCCAAAGCCTTGGAGGAGCACACGAAGGAGGAGGAGAAGGAGAAAGGGGCTTCTGTGAACCTTTGGACAGAGCCGGAGATTGGGGGACTGGAGCACATCTGCGCCACTGAACAACCCAAGCCATTTCCATGGTGAATTAACAGCCATATAATGCATCTGATATTATCAATCTGGAGAAGAAGACATTCAAAGGAGTTTGAGATGGGGGCAGGACAAATGAAAACCTCAAGTTGTTTCAACAAGGGTTTTCATCAACTGGGCAATTCAAGGCTCTAAATTATATATAGGTACTGCCCTAAGTTTTTATGAAGACTGTTTACGCTTGACTAGACAAAATACATTGGATGACGTATTTATGATCTAACTGATCGTTAAAATCAGTCAAGTGTCCAGATGTAGCTGTAACTATAGAGTCGGAAGGAGGCATCAGCTGTGAGATTGGATTGCCCTTGGCCCCAGGGTTACATGGCCAGGCCAGCGATTGTTGAGCCTCAGCGGCCTGGCTCCTTAAAGAGCTTGTCTACTTTCTGATTCACCGAATGCAGGGAGAGACGGGGAGGCTGTATCTGCGGTGAGGGTCTTGTGGGGGAAACCCTGGCAGACTGGTGTTACTCTGTCAGGCCTGGCCAAAAGAGCAGCACTCCACTCTGCACACTACACCATCTGCTGCAAGTGGACCAACACAATGGCTGCTCACACAGACTCAGAGCAGAGTAAAAGGAAACCTTTCAACTAAAATAGTTTAAATGTATGCGTTTATACAAATAACAATCTGTTTTTCTTAAATTTATTACCATTTTTCACTCACTGCTAAATAACACATTATTTTAAAACACAGCATTTCTGGTTTTACCCATGAATGTGATATCACTCTCTTTCAGATGACAATAAAGACGCTTCATATCACCTAATGAGGCATTTTCATTTTCAATTCACTCACAGCTTGCAAATGTAATTGTGATTGGACTTAGGGGTGGCGTGCAGGGCTATTATTTTGTCATGATGGTGCACTCACACCAGCTGGCCCACTGTTCGCATGCCACATCTGACAAGACATCATCATTCTCACAACACTTCCCCGTAGCACAAAGTCATGAGGGGGGAAATAGCTGCTCCTCTTCCTAATTTCAGGTGTAAGGACAAGAATATTTGGAGTCGAATGGAGAACGAATGTGGAAATTGATAGCAACCATCTGCTCCACAAATTACTTGAGCAGCTGAACTTGAACGCACCCAATAAAACGTCAAAATGTCCCTGACTTCTAAAACTCAAAAATAAAACTTACAAAAGTTCAACTGATGGTCAACAATGTCTGGATTAAATAGACTTATAATATGATCCTAATTCTAAACTGAACATGTCCACCTGTACATGTCTGTAATTTCTGAATGCAACAATAAAAGCCCCAACATCTGGTATATGTGCTTACTATTTGATTGTTGTCTACTTTCTCTTTCTGCATGTCTATCTCCCTTTTCATCCTTCCATCGGGAACCAGTAGAAGCAAAGGATTATGGATCTCTGGAAAGCGTTCACCCTTGGGTCAGAAGACAAGACAAGGCGAGGTAATGAAAGATAAACAGCTCGCTGCAAACACCTGTTAACGTCCGCTTCAAAGAAAGAACCGGGAGGAGGGGGGCGGTGATTGTACAGGGAGGGAAAACAAAAAAAGAAGTATTCGGCTGCCAAGCAACAGCCGAAGGGCCCCCCAGGCTGTTGACAGATCTTTATGAAATACAAAAAGGGAAAGAGACGACAATGATAGTGGGCCTTTTACAACAGCAATAGGTGATAAGGAAAGGGGAAAACACAAGCATTCATTAATTTACATCTTTACTGAGTCCTCAGGCGAACCTTTAGGAATAACACACGTCTACTCAACGACCCCAAAAATACACCACAGCTCGTAAAATACATGAGATATTATCTTGATCTAAAACAGACTGAATTATTTGAGTAAACAATAAAAACAATATCTAGAAACAAAAAACAAATATGAACTAAGGTGAAGGTACTATTGCAGAGACAGAGAAGGGACTCAATGTCTTGAGTCTCCAGGGGGTTCAATTTGAGCCTCCCACAGGGCATAGCCTCTTTATCCGTGGGCACTGTTGGGGCACTCTGGGGTTAACTATAAGGGAGACTATACAAGACCATTGTTTGCCAAGTTTCATTATGCTATCTCCTTCCTTCTCTGTGACCATTTTTTATCAAAGGAATTGGGGCACTAAATGTCGAGGGGAAGTAATCTTTGTAAGTAAGTGATATGTGACATAAGGGCTTTTAAAGCACTGGAGGTTGAAGATGGAAGAAACATTTATCTGGTACTGTGAAAATGAAGCTGTAAAATGAATGAAAAAATACAGTAGAAATATGAACAGAAAACAACTGCGGGTCATAAGTAAAGAGGAGACAGTATAGGTATTGAATGTTGTGATGAGTCTATTAAATAGACACTTTTAAGCCTTAACAATTAATTATGTGGTTAATTCGGTACAAAAGGATACATTGCTGCCAGAGTAAGGGGAGATGTCGGCCATGTCCTGGAGGTCGCTGCACTCAGATTTGATGAGGGACAGAGACAGTGATTCGGCCGTGCTGCCAGGATGTGCTGGTGAAAGGGAGCGGTGGTGGTGGTGGTGGTGGTGGTGACTCAGGTGGTGACCGGCCATCTTGGTCCTCAGGCTGGTTGTTTCCCGGGACAAGTCCATGGAATCAGGTGAGGACCTGTCCTTGCCTCCATAACCACCTGTGGGTGCCCCCAGAGGGCTCTGAAAAGGATAACCTAAGAGTGGAATGGGGAAAGGGTGTCTGAAAGATGGGGGGCTGAAGCCCATAGAAGCAGACAGTGAGGAGGGGTGAAGGGCTGGGTGGTGATGCCCACCATGGGCCCCTATGGCTGAGGACTGGTGGTGGTGGTGGTGGTGTTCACTGGGAGTCTTCCTTACAACTAGAGGCAAAGCCTCTGTTTGGTCATTGGCTGTCCCTGGCAAGCCAGGCATACTGGCAAATGAGTCTAGGGGGTTGGGAATGATGACATCACCAAAGCACTGTAGGCGCTGGTTAGCTGTGTGGAAGTTCGGATTGTCTCCATTAACTGTGGGAGGAAATCTTTCAGGAGGTAGGGAGAGAGGGGGGAATGCTTGTTGAGGTGTGGGGCGTGGAGGCTTGGCAAACACTTTGACCACTGTGTCCACTACTTGGGTCATGGCTGAGTTGAGTTCCTGCTTCAGCGTTTCAGCCAGCTGTTTTCCTTCAGGGTGTATTGGACCCTTACGTCCCAGCCCCTCTCTCCTTGGCTTGTCTCCATCCAGCAGAGCTTGTTCCTGGAGTAGTGCTCTGGCCCTGTCCAGAAAATGGCCTGGGTCCAGGTCGGACATCTCATTGTCAGAGCGTAAGTCCTCTCCGCTTCTCTCGTCGGCACCATTGTCAGAACGGGCAGGGCTGTCCTCAGACATGTTTCCTATATCATTATGTAGGTCATTGTTGAGCTCGTTGTGTTCTGAGTCATCTGTTGAGTCGTAGATCTGAAAGAACTTCTCTTGGAGCTGGCGCAGCTGCTTTTGCATGTCCTCCAGTTGGAGTTTGAGTTGCCTGCGCTCCTCTATCTTTTGCTCTTTTCTTTGACACACCAGCTGAGTGAAGCTCTGTTGCTGTTGCTGAGGCAGGCGCTGTTTACGCTTATTCTCTCGACTGCTGCACACCTCCCCTCCTCGGGGGCTGCTGGGGGCCTGCTGCTGGGAGTTGGGGGGAGGGCAGTCTAACTCCATCTCCCGATCTGCGTCAATGTCGTGGTCGCGCTCATGTCGAGATGAAGCAGGGACAACCACACTGGGCGAGTGGCTCATGCCGCGAATAATGTTCTCTACGCGGGCTCTCTTGGCACGCAGGTGTTCATCATTTAGTCGCTCAATGTCAAAATTGGCCAGGCCAGGGGGTCGGCCAAATGGGGACAAGCACTCTTGAGGGGTGCTGTCCTGGGACGAGTTACTGCATGCATCTTCTTGAGGTGCTTCTGAACTTGTGTTGGAAAGCCCTGAGTTGGAGAAGCCCACGTCCCTTTCACCTCTGTCAACTCTATCATGCCCCCCACCATTCTTTGCAATGTTGTTTTTGAGAAGCTGAGAGATGATTGTTGTTCCAGGGAAGGGCATCATGGCATCCTCATATGAGTTCGCCCTCTTCAGTAGCTTTCGCAGCACATTTGACTTGGACTCACTGTCACTCGCTGACATGACGCCAGGCCCACCGTGTGGCTGCACTACAGAGCAATCCATGGAGTCTGTGTCTGATCCGTGGTGAGAGTGGGAGCTCAGAGAGTTCATGGCACTGAAAATGGCTGCTTTGGCGCGAGCAATACTATCTGCAGTGGTGGCTCCTGAGCCTATGCTGCCCACTGTCCTCTTCACACCAATGTCCACTCGTCTGCGTTTGGTCTGTCTGTTCAGAAGGGAGTCGCTGTCATGGTCCGGCATCACGTGCTGCGGCTATTGGGCCATATCCCGCAAGTCACTCCTCTCACTCAAAGCCGTTTGTGTACCTGGGAACACAGTTTATAGACATGTGTTATCACAGGAAAAAATATTTTTTTTTACTGTACAAAGATTTTTTTTTTCTTGTGCAAAACAGCTTTTGAATCAGAAGAAATGGCTGGACAAATACTGGGGAAAAACCACAATTATATTTGATGACAGTATCTTTAATGAAGCTCAGAGGTTTCCGTGGAGCAGTCGAGAAGAGGATAGAATTAGGCCTTTGCGCAACATTCCAGGGCAAAGTCCTACATTTTATCCTTTCCCTTTTACACGCCACAAGACACTGAACCAGTTCCCACGGAGCACAAAGCTGCATAAAATTATGATAATTACTTAAGTAGTTGTCCTCATTTACATATGCGATCCCTGTGAGCCCACACACACACACTGTTTACAAAATAGATAAATAAAAATAGGGTAGAATGTCAATAATATAGTGTTAAAAACCTTGAAAGGCTGGAGAAAGTTGTGTTGAGGTTGCAATATTTTTACATTGATTTACGCTTATTTGAGCGAATTGAGGCTAATCAATATGGCCATCATATCGAAGGCAAAGGAAAGACTGACACTCAAAAGAAACACAAAATAGGCCTATTGATTTTGGAGCCAGCGTGAGCTCACTTCTGTGTTTTTTGTTTGTCTTTTCATCTGGCAAGGGCAGTTAATTCTGCTTAAATGAGTAGGTCAAGGGGTCAACTCTGGCAAGGAACAACCTAAAGCGTTCTTACAAAAACCCTAATGCCTCTCTGAAAGCAAAACGTTTTGTCAGTACAGGCCCGCATTGATAATGTGTGAGCAGCAGTGAGCAAGCAGCAACGTTTTTCTGATTCAAAATACACAATATCATGTACAGCAACATAAGTATATTGTTGTTAAACAAAGAACAAGTGTTTTGTGCTAAACTGCTGTCATCTTTGTGTTCATAATCATACCCTATTTTAGAATATTTATTGATTTCATCAATACTAAATATATTAGTATTGTCGTTTTTGCTATTTAGAATGTCTGCAACACAGAAAAAAAATACATGTACGCCTATACAATATTTGAATTCATTAAATATATTCCACTATATTTACCACGATAAAATCACAAGATTCCTCTTTTCACACTAACACATATTTCTTTGAGCATTCAATACAACATTGAAGGAATATTCAGTTCAATAGCCATAATGAAAAAAACAACAACACAAATGCAGTTAATCTTTATAAATACACTATAAAGTATAAGATGATCAGTAGTTGGGGGAAGTTTTAAAGTATTGTAACAATTTATAAGCTGTTTGAAGCTCGTAAACGAGTTGACATAACTTCAATAGTAAAACAAATGACACCGTTCAAACATCACAATAGTGTTTAGCACCTGTCTTTTCTGACAGAGCACCTGTCCCCTGCTGCCCATGCGCACTCGCTCCCTTTGTCCCTCACGCTATAACTATTTATTTGTTTGAATTATGGCATGTTTTCTTAACTTGTCAAAACGTATACTTCCCTTTAAAGCTGTCTTTAGAGCAAGGGAATTAATTTAACACTAAACACATATTAAGTTGTATGTATTGTTTGTATGAGATGTATTAGAATCTCATATAAACTGTTCTGTGAGTACAAATTGTAAGTGAGTATACATTATTAATATAAACGCCAAAGAAGTATTCCTAAACTATCATTTCTACACAATGACATTAGATCCAAACCTTCAAGTTACATGAGATTTCATTGTCAAACTCGGGTGAGTTAAATTTTTTATTTTTTCTATCAGCTTGTTATTTGCCGATGCCAACTCTTTACAAACTTACTTCTAAAAGTGAGAACCAACTCTCCAATCTGCGTTGTGATGAGGAAGGCTGGGCTACGCGAATCATCCTTGCAATAAAAAACGCACTGTACCGCTGCTCACTCAACTCCCCAGCAGCAGCACCAGCGCGCAAAGCCACAGCACAAACACCGCGTACACGGAGACGGACACATCATTGTGGTTTGACGAGAAGAACGGATGTATTAGTTAGTTTTACGCACGGCACGGCGAGGGACACACACAAACACAGAGCACAGCGCGAGGAGGACAAGGTTACTCACCCTCTATAGACCAGCAGAGGACTGTTGCAAACTCCCAAAGGCGTTAAAAGGGAAGTTTCTCTGCGCTGGGATGGATATTGCTCAACGGGCTGGACAAAGAGACGCGACAAAGTGGATGGAAACGAGTGCCACGGGTCCGCTGCCAGTCTGTCCGCGGATACAGAGCGCGTAGGATGCAAGAGGCAGTGTGATGCAGGAGCGCTCCTCCGCCACTAAAAACATTCACTTTAAGACGCGGCAGAAGGAAACAGGAAGACGTGCGCGTCACAGGCGTCCCGGTGATGTAAGAGCGCACAGCGGACCAATAAGGAGCTTCTGTCGGTAAACGGGGCCGGAGGATGATGTACTGAACTTGACCACACTGGGACTTGAGTGAAAGAGAGAGAGAGAGAGAGAGAGAGAGACAGAAGGATGGACAGAGTTAGAGAGAGGAGGGAGGCAACAGACACTTTACGGGTGTCTTCACAAAGCTCCGGTCACAAATGAAAGACACGGTATGTGCCGTTATAGCGTATTGACTGTGACTGTACACTTTCAATATCACTCGATGTCTCCAAAGAGCCAAGTTACATGCATTTGAGCAGTATAATTATTTAAGGTATAAACAAAACAGACTATTGTTTGCTGTTTGTTTTTTAACTTTTAAATAAAAGTATAAATGTACTTATTTGATATAGCCATTTCTTTCCACGAATAGCTCACTCGGAATGTTCATTTTTAATTTGTATTTGTATCGTTTCTTTAAAAAGACAAAAAAGCTAAATCCTAGTACCGTTTGAAAATGAATGGTCGCACCTCGAATGATTCACTTTTACGCACAGCCAGTGTTATTCAATTATAAACGCGCAATTGCACCAATAGCAGTTGAATAACCGATTATAATAATGACTTTTGTTTCTGTCAGGTAATGTAAACTACAGTTCTGCGGTTGGACAGTCGATGCACTAAAATACACGGGGCATCATGCTTCACTCTGGCATCTTGGAAACATTTTTTACGCACATTGTATGTCACGTTGTGATTTATGGAGCAGCTCCACGCGCGTTGTCAGTGTGTTTGTGTTTTGGAATTCACATGACACGGGACAAGCCAACATCTAAGCGGAGATAAGCGCCATACGGCCGTCATCCTCTGCATACACTCATGTGGGACCTGTTGAAATGTTTTTTCATTTGTGATTCCAAATGTCAGATACACATATTTATTATATTGACAGTAGTTTGTTACCGTATTTCTCATTACATTTTTGTTCAGATTTTATATTAATTTCACACAAGGCACATGGTGTTTTACAATAATCTCTGTTTTTATAGACCGATCTTTTAGTCTTTGTTTCAACGATTTAAGCCTGAGCCTATATTCTACATTTTTACCCTTTTATTTTTCGTCTCGTTTGTCTTTTTATATCGCTTGAATAAATACAGGGTCATCTCTGAGCTCTCATAAAGCTTTTCCACTGCGCGCTGTGTCAGGTGCAGGATGCCAGGAAATAGGCGCGTCTACTTTCCACTCTGCAGGCGTGCTGTGATATTTAAGAGCAATCAAATGTGGCAAAGTTTGCGATCTGGAGAGCTGTTTTCCAAAGCACATGTCGTCGGCCTGTTGCGCGCTTGGCCTTGGCTCCCTCGGGTGCCTCCTGTACGCACACACAGGTTCTGCGTTCATCATGATGCGGACCGCGCTGTTTGGAAACGGAAAACTCGGAAACGGGTGTCTCGTATGCGGCCCGGTCCAGGTGGCTTGGATTTCGCCTTTGCTATTTTCAGATTCAGGCCCGAAAGAAAGGGGAAAAATAAAAAGCTGTTGAAAGTAAATCTGTCCCCTGGGAACTGTAAAAGGTGCGTGGTTTGATCGCTTTCTGACCGCAGCAAAGTGCCCCGGTGCGTAATAGCCAAAAGCCCGTCCGTTAGTGGAATGGCAAATTCATAAAACATATGTAAATATTATTTAATTCATGTCAATAATAAATGATGGATTAGAAAGCATCCTAATAAAATAAACTTGTCGTGTGCTTCAAAAACTAGGCCTGTATGCATTCAATAAAATACTGACACATTTTCCTATCAAATACAACTTCATTATATTAACTATTTTTTGCTCATGCATTTTAAGAATAAAAAGAGTGCATGTTTTGCAGGAAAATACGAGGGGAGTGTGCTAAAAGCTGTTTTGTTCCGCGGAGGTCTCGGGGTGTCTGAATAAAAAGGGTTAGGAGAGGGTTGGTGATGGAGAGCAGGACGCAGAAGACTTTGTCCGCGTGTATTAATGAATACGTAGGCGTATGCAGTCTCTTAAGTCCTCGTCGGGGCCTTGTTCAAAAGTATTCTAAAAACCAATGGTAAACTACTGTAATTGATCTAATAAAAAAGTGTCCTTATTCTGTGTGCACATGGGGCCATTCTGGCGCAGCCTGGCCCCCATGACCCACATCCCTCTTTTTAGGCTACAAGTGCTGATGATGGAGGCGGGCGCACCGTGTTTATGTGACACACAGACAGAGGGAGAAATTGCCCAGAGAGACACACAAAGTTGGGCTTGTCCTCTATGGCCTGCCTCATTCAACGAAAGACAAGTACACATCACGAATTAAGCCTTTATTTGCATGTCCGGAGTGAATAAGCAACGGTCTCTTATGCGTTTTATTTGAGCAAATACATATTTGTGTATGTCTGTAAACAAACTGTCCCTCTGATGTGCAGTGTTGCCAATAATAGCCAATAATGCACATCAAGCAATCCAATCACACTCTTATATACATAACTGTTATGTTAGTGATATCAGAAGCACGAGGAACAAGATGTTACAGTGGATTCCCAGTAAGCAAGTCCAAGGTGAAAGCCACGTGTGCACCAACAGGGTCGAAGTCTGCAGCCAAAGGGGGGTCACTAACATTTCTCATGAGTGATTCATTTCTTTTTTTAATGAAATACAACTTGCATATCCTATATCAAATCGTTTTGTCTGTTCTGCAGGTGGCATGTCGTTTCACTTTTTAAAATCAAAATATTTTCTAGACAAGAAAAGTAGATGGAAGTTTTATGAATTAATTAAAACCTTGGTGTTTTGTCCTGTTCTTAAAGTTGAGCTAAAGTCAAAGAGAACGAAGGGCGTGCGCGCTGCTCTCTCGAGCGCGCGCACCACCGAGCGGAGCGCCTTGGAGGTGCAGCGCGCATGAGACGCGCAATGGGAAACCGCCTGGAACTGTATTAAGGCTGACGTCCTTAAAACAAACAATGGCAGCATGAAATAAGGGCTTAGTGCTCAAAGTCAAAGAGCCCCCCCAGCCACTGTGCCTGTTTATCTCCCCGCCTGACACACGCGCCTGTTTCTTGGGGGTTACACGCTCGTAGCTCCGTTGGGAGGGGACCAACTTTGCTTCTGTGAACTCTCACCTGTCAACACACAGAGAGGACTTTACTTTGTAAACACGAAAGGACTTTGAGTTTACTTCTGGCAGTAATTCACCGGAAAAAAAAAACATATAATGAAAGACTTTGTCACATTGAATACATATACAAAAAATACCGTATTGGTTATTATCTGTATATGGTCTTTGCTTTTGTCCAAGGGAATGAACCCCCCTCTTTTATATAAGTCTTTTAGTTAATATCTTTTGTTTTTAAATGTCTGACTTTGTTCTTATGTTGATGCATTTCATTTCTAAGAAAAAGATTGGACCTAATGCACCAGTTCTGCATGCACAAGGCAGATAGATCCTGATTCTTTCACATATTTGATTGTAAAAGGGAACCTATAGATATAGTATCTTGTATAGAACAAAACGAATTGCTCTGTTTTGCCTTTTCTGATCGGCTAATCATATTACTCAGTGCATGTAAGTGGTACTCCCTTGGGGGCTTGTTGTGCAGCACTAAATTCATGGTCATAAAAAAGATGAGACGAAAAAAGACGAGATATACAGCCTCAACACTGGCGTAGTCATAAAATCAAAAGAGCAATTAGATCTAAAGAGGGAGGAAGCTAAAGCCTTACGGAAAATACATTAATGCAGTGACGGACAAGGGCAGGGGGCTTCTAATAAAATGCAGGTTAATGAGCTTTTAATAGCTCCTGAATATATGCTTGGTTAACGGCCACACACACACTCTCTCAGTGCTTTCTCTAGGTGACTGATGCAATTAGGAGTAATTAGACAGTGGTTACCTGTAACTCTGCCTTTGTGTTGACTATAAAGAGTAGGACGGCTATGAAGTGACCTATTCAGAGCTTAAGTAGCTCCTGTCAACACATGCATTACTTATACGTTCAGCAGTGTGCCATGTGCTGTACGTGTTGGCACTCTCTTATTCACTCTAGCCTTTAACCTCCAGTGGATTTTCCCTCATGACCCCGCCTCTGCGATGACCTATAGGACCCCAGAAGAGTGCAGGATGTCCCAGGGAGAGGTCAGGACAGGGGGGAAGCTCTGGTTGTTGTTGTTGTTTTTGTTGTAAGACTTGCAAACTCAGATGGATAATTACACATCCATGCTGTTTGCGCACTAATCTTTTGCATAGAAAGGAAATGCATTTGAAGAAATATTTATATATATATTTATATATATAGAAAAATACATAATGCTGATAAAACAGGACACTTGAGTTCAGACTTAGAATTTCCTTTGTGTCACATTAGAATTGTTAAATGTTCTACAACATTTAATTTAACAAATTGGATTCTTTCTAACTTGATTTGGGCGTGAGTTTCTCTCCTGAGTTAGTTGTTTATTGTTATTGTTTATTTTTAGATTAAGTAAATCAAATATGTTCTTAAATAGATACACATCTTCAATTATAAATAAATATACACAGTATGATAATCAGGAAATCATAATAATAACTGTTGACAAAGAAAGAGTTGGACCAACTTAGTATTACTTTCTTGCCCTTTGAATTTCCACACTGTGCCCTTTTGTGCAATTTTCTCTCTATGTAGCAGTGTGTTCTATATGGAAGCCTCTAATGCATACATGCGTGTTGTAATTAATCAGAGTGTCTTGACCACAGATCCTCTGTTGGACTGCGCCTGAACACTCACCAGACACAGGTCACAACATGGCAGCCCAGTAATGGCACCCTTGTACTCTGGAGTCAATGTACGCTCAGCCACTCTCTACCTACATCCAGCACAAACACACACACAAACACACACACGCACACACACACCCACACACCCACACACACACACAAACACCCACACACACACACACACCTGGATCCACGCGCACAAGCCTGGATCCTGCTGTTTTAAAAGACTTTCCCCGTGGACAGAGCCGTGTGCCAGTGCTGCTATAAATCACAGGGAGGCTGGTGCTGAGGGCATGGCGCACCTTGTCCACGCTGCCCCCACTCCTGGGCTGAATAAACCATAACATCCTGCCTCTCGTGCTGCTCCACGGCCTCAGAGCACAACCCCTGGGAAGACCCCCTCCTGCCCCTGTCTGCCTCTCTTCTCCCCACCACCAACACCAGCTCTGTTCCCCCGCTATCTTTGGCATTTTAGGAATATTCATTTTGTTACACGGTAAAACCATTGACTCCCTGCCTCATCAATGGAGCGTTCCTCGATAGAAACAGGCCGGGACATGGACCTGTTACTTCTCTTGCTCTAAAATGCATCAACACTTGATATTTTAGGTCTTTATCTGCGATTAAATGGTAGGATAATGAGAAAAACGTTTAGTTCCAGACTGTGGTAGATCAGGGTATGAAGTGACAAGATTAATTATATTTTCAATACTCCCTATCTTAGGATAAAAGAAAAAGGGAAAGTAGCAGGAAACAGGTTTTTAACATACAAATGCATACATCCTGTCGTGTGCCATGCTTGGGCCTATCAGATCCTTCCTCTGGACTCATCAGACAAGCCACATAACTTACAATGAAGATGAACAGCTCCCTTCTGAAATCAAGTAACATGAGCAGCTATTGTTTTTTTTTACTAAAATAAGATAAGATGGACTTTATTGATTTCACACTGGAGAAAAGGAACATGTCACACTAATAAAGTTATTTATATATTTTTCATTAGCAGAAAAATGTTCACATTTAACACATACCAACTTAAAAGCATACGTAGCATACATAAATAGCATTTTTATTGTTCATTAATTACTCATTTTCAGATTACATTTAATTATTTTAATACATTGAATGAGTTCTTAAAGTAATGCCAGTTTAATCTTCTCCCTTTGCTGGAATTAAAAGTTCCTTGGCATGCGACCATTTATGTGATACTTCCTCCCACTTTCTATTTTGGAGAAGTGAAATGTGAAGTGTGTGTTTTACTTGTCACCTCCGTCGACATATATTTTGGTCTCATGAAGTTGAAATGTCATAAGGAAATGTCAGATCTAAAGGCTTTTATGTAGAGGATCATGTTTTTTGAAATATTTTCTCTCACTAATCTTTTCTCTCACTAATCAAACACTACTTGTGTTTCCCAGACTCATACAGAACCCGGCTCACACTGCTACTGTCCTGATAAGGGCTGGGCATCTCTGGGTCCCACATGATATGATATGAAATACACAATATGACATGGGGATACTGTGATTATTGCTATATGATATATTGTTAATTGCTTTGTTTACGTGATTATTTAATGTTTATCTACTGTTATTATTTATCAATCAATCAATCAATCAAAGTTTATTTGTAGAGCGCCTTTCATACACAGGGCAACACAAAGCGCTTCACAGTCCACATCACAAATCATCACATAAAACAAACACCAGAATCACAATTAAAACATTAAAATCACACAAAAGATTAAAACACAATTAAAACATTAAAATCACACAAAAGATTAAAACACAATTAAAACATTAAAATCACACAAAAGAATAAAACCATTAAAACTTTCAAAATTACACAAGAAATTTAAAAAAAAAAATAAATAAATGACAGCAGTGCATTAGAAATGGAGATAAAATCCTTCAGTTGTATGCACAGGCAAACAGAACAGTCTTTAACCTGGATTTGAACATTGACAGAGTAGACGCCTCCCTCACATTTTCAGGGAGATTGTTCCAGATCTTAGCTGCATGGATCTGAAACGCAGCCTCCCCATGTTTGGTTCTCACTCTGGGCACCAGCAGGAGGCCAGTCCCTGTGCTCCTCAGAGTCCGGGCTGGTTCATATGACACCAACATGTCACTAATGTATTTTGGTGCAAGGCCATGGAGAGACTTATACACAAGCAGAGCTGTTTTAAAATCTATTCTCTGAGCCACAGGAAGCCAGTGCAGAGACCTGAGGACCGGACTAATATGGTCATACTTCCTGGTTCCTGTCAGGACTCTAGCTGCTGCATTTTGGATGTACTGCAGCTGCTTACAGGTCTGTTTGGACAGACCTGTAAGCAGGCCATTGCAGTAGTCTAGCCTGCTGGAGACAAATGCATGGACAAGAATCTCCAAGTCTGCTTTAGACACTATATTTCTAACTTTGGCAATGTTCTTCAGATGGTAAAAAGCTGTTGATGTTATTGATTTTATGTGGCTATTGAAATTTAGGTCTGAGTCCAGTATTACCCCCAAATTTCTGACCTTGTCTGAAGGAAGTAGGGAGAGAGACTGAAGTTGACAAATGACGCCCTCTCTTTGTTTCTGGGGACCAAAGACAATGATTTCGGTTTTGTCTGCATTTAGCTGGAGGAAATTATTTTGCATCCAGTCACTGATCTGTTGGATACAGTGAAGGAGCAAATCCAGTGGTCCATGTTCTCCTGCAGTCAGTGAGACATAGATCTGAGTGTCGTCGGCGTAATTGTGGTAGGACACTTTGTTTCTTTGTATTAACTGACCTAACGGCAGCATGTAGAGATTAAATAGGAGAGGTCCCAGGATCGACCCCTGTGGTACTCCACAGGTCAGGGCCACATGATCTGAGACGCAGTCTCCAATCTCCACAAAGTACTTCCTATCCTCCAGGTAAGACCTAAACCAGTCTAGGGCTGTGCCAGTGACACCAACCCAGTCCTCCAGTCTCTGCATGAGGATCTCATGGTCGACAGTGTCGAACGCGGCACTAAGATCTAACATGACCAAAACTGTGACTTTACCTGCATCAGTGTGAAGTCGAATGTCGTTTGTTACCTTCACTAGAGCGGTCTCAGTGCTGTGGCTGCCTTTTAAACTGCCCGCTTTGCTGTGAGAGGGTTGGCAGGAGGCTGGCCGGGCTGTGTGATTGGCTGAGGCTTGAGAATGGCAGAGCTGTTTGATTGGCTGAGGCTCGAGGCTTGGAAAGGGGAATTTGCACTCGGTGTCTTTCAGTCTGAAGCTGCGCCTTTAGCTTCATTTGTGCTTGAGTTGAAACAGAACTGGAGATTGTGTAATTTTGAAGGATTTCAGAGTAGGGTGTAATTCAATTGGGATGATAATGTGGTTGTTTGTTAAATGAGGTATAACATGCCATGGTTCCTCATACTAAACTGCAAGACTTTAGTTTCCATTACATTGACTCCCATTCCTTTAAATCACCGCCAGTGAAGAGGTTGATGACTATATCGATACTTGGAATTAGCATATCAATGTGTGTGACGAATTATCACCATGTATTAAAATATAAATATTTTATGATCATGTCTGCATTTTCCCACAAACTGCTTCTCTCAGTGGATCCGTCAGACAGGGCAGCAAACAGCGGCCGATAACCAGCCTTGCAGACAGTGGAACTTCTGGTAAACAAACGTCCTTTTTGCCTGTGACAGTGCGAAAGAAAGAAAGAAACAGGATTTTTGTCCCTCCTCAAACTCTATTTTCACGGTCTCCCTGCTGATCCCTTTCCCAAGTGCACACAAGTATGAAACACCCAAATAAATCAATAAGTTATAGACAAAAACTATGGTCACTTATATGAACCGGGTTTAGATAAAAGATCCTTTATTTGTCCCAAAGTGTGTAAATTTCAGTGACGGGGATTCAGGAAATTCTTTGCTTCTTGGCGGAGGTCTGTGCTCAACGCATACGTTTTTAGATGTTTTTTTTTCATTTAAATCCAATTTTCTTACTGTAATCAGGCTACATCATCATCATCATCTTTTGATTCTATGTAAATGATGTTCCTTCCAAATGTTCTTCAGTGCCACTAAACCATCTATCTCCTTTGACAAAGTTAAGTCATGTTCTATTTCATGGAGTCTTGCAGCTGAAAAAGTCACATCGCATGATTCAGTCCAAGGATCAGTACGAGCTGAAGAGTAAGAGACTTATGTGAAGTTGTCGTGACTTATTCTCACACTCGGGCCCTTTGTCCAGTGTCTTTAACCAAGCTTGAACAGCTGATGCCCTAGGCTGTTCCTGCTGCTCCGGGCCTTTTCCTTGCAGGAATCTCTGCTTCCCGTTCGGAAGTTTGTAGATTTGGAACAAACTGTCAGTGAGGCCTCCCGGACGAAAGTGACATGGCTTTATCCACCCACTGACCCGTGATGAGGACAGACGTGTTCACATGTTGCCCTTTAACTAGGGAATCTTCTATACTGGATTCAACGTTATATAAGAACAGAGTATTATTAAGGAAAGGCCAGTTCAAATGTGCTTAATTCTTTCATACTCTACTTAAATACTTGAATGAAGGTGGTACAGTGGCAGCTGCACCTTTATAGGCCTGAATCTGTGGTTTAATCATTTACGCTCCTTGTGTTTTCTGTTTGCTTCAGCTGCACAATGGATTATCATTACCTTTTACTGATCAGAAAGCCCAGATGTAAGCATCAAATGATAGCCTGGAGCCCTGCTCTTGATTCTCCTCGTCACTTATCTTAATCTATAATGACCAGATTAGTGAGGATGCTCTCTTGAGTGTGAGAAGGAAAAGAGGGCATATACTTAAGAGATAAACACAGGCGAGATAGAGACACGATTGGTGCAAATGGAAATAAAGTGCAACAGCTGGGTTCACAAAAGTGATGCCCTGAGTGAGCAAGGAGAGAAGAGAAGAGGTGACAGAAGAAACAAGAGGATAGAGATGGAGAGATAGAGAGGAGGAGGAACCAGGAAGCATGAGCACAACACCTAGATTAAGTAATGAACACAGAGCCAGTCAAGAGTACATAAAGCCGTGTTTAAACTGTCTCTTCAGCAAAGTGGCGGAAAGCATTTTCATCACTTCGGTCGCAGCCACAGTCCAGAGACACCGAGGGATTACTGCCCTGAACATCTGACGCCATCTAAAGAAATGTGTTAATATTATGAAATCATCTCAGCAAGTCACTAAAGGTCCTTTCAGCTACAAAAGAGGGGACGACGACAGGACAATACCTTTGACTGTGTGTTGCTCATTTGCTCACTGTTGCGCCCTCCTCGACCACTGCCACAAAGAAGAGCTCAGCTGAAAGTTGCTTTTTCACTGCTCTCCCATGAACATGTTGCTTGTATGTGTTGTGCTGAGTAGTGTCTTTGACTTTGTCTATGTACGAAGAGCGGTTCTTGCCTTTTGAGGGTTGAAACGCTTTGTAAAATATCTTTTCTTCTTGGTTTTCCACAGTTCTTGTCTT